AAAAAACATTGAATTATTGTAGTTAAGTTTATTCGAGTTAAAGATCTTTGATGCTTTTACCATTGATAGTAAATCAACCCAGAGATAGTTTAATGAGAATTACTATTTGCTATTTAATATTATATAAATGAAATGAACATTTTCTTACAATTCATAATTTCGATATGATTAAAGAGATTTCCTATCATAATAGGAATAGATAAGAATCTTTAGTTCACTAATTACTGAGAAGCATTCATAAAGTCTATGTGATTAACACAGTTCAACTGTATCATTCATAATTTAAGTATCAAAATTGGTAATTTAATGACTATCTCTCATAATTTCGATATGAAAGAAGTTTAATAAATGGACTATTCTATTTCAGGTTAGTGAAACTGGAATTTTGAACCTATCTTGATAATGTCAATTTTCTTTCTAAAAGGATTTATATTGTTCTATTTGTATTACAACACTATAGTATCTCATACTACTGATAAGGTTCATCTCATTGCATTATTTAAATCTTTTCAATCAGTCTAAAAAATTGTCATGACAACCTAATTAATCAATAAACAAATAAACAATTTTCTCTATTTCAGTAATGTTTATATCACTTATCAAAGGATACAAAATCACTTACTATGAAATAATATATCTCATCAGTATGGGGTTGTGGAGATTATTACGTCTTTGATTGAGATCATGAATCGATTGATGTTAGACCACTGTTGAAAATCTGAAATTGCTGGACGGCCGTTTCGTCCTATTGTAGAACTCCTTCGCAGTGCTCATGCACAATCCCGGTTGCGGAATTCGTACTTAGAGCCTCCATTCTCACGCGCAAACGCTTAACCTACAAACCACTGAGTCGGCATCCAACAGTGTTAATGTCTAACATCAACCAATCCACGAAATCGAGCCACCGCCCACCATCGTCTTCAGTGAGTTATTATCTCACAACAGACCTAGTTGAACTACACTGGTCACACTGTTTGACATAGATTGAATGTTTTCCAGTACTTGTCAGAAACACTTATTTACGAACCTAAAAGCACTGCTGCTCTCTGTGGTATTCAAACCAGTGTCAACTAGCAAGTTGATAAATAGAAGTGAGTTAGTGACAAAAGACTAGAAAAATGTGACATTGGTTACAATCCAGTGATTAATCAATTGAACAGATCGTTATATATATATATATATATATATATATATATATATATATATATATATATATGACAGTTATTATAAATACATAGATCTGTCTCAATAGCATCAGTCCACAACATTAGAATAGTAGTCACGATTTATTTTATTGTGTAATCTTCTCCGACTTACATTCATCAGCCATGAAAGCTGAACTAAACAGAAATGTATTTTAATATTTTACATGGTCTAGAGGTTAAGACTGAAGGTCCTTAGTTCGGATCCCGCGAGCAAGATAGCAAATGCACGCTGCTAAGGAGTCTCACAATAATAGGATCAAACAGTCGTCCAGTGCTTCCAGATTCTCAATAGTGATCTAATATTAATCAGTTCATGATCTTAATCAAATACTTAATAATCTCTACAACCCCTATTCTAACAAAAACTGAATTTTGTCAACTATTTATCTATTTATCTATATATGATTCTTTTATGATGAATCAATCAATCTAAGTTCAACTAAGGTCTATACTATCAATTCTTAAATGTTGACAATGATTCAATCAATTAAAAACTATATATTATTCATTCTATTACATATTCTTCTACTACCCTCATTTTATTAAGAATTTTTCATTCACTACTACTACTACTAATTTTCAATTTATAAATAGTAGAATAAAACAACATTATGACATAATAGAAATTTGATATTTATTGTATCATCTATTTCAAAATGTTGATTGTCATAGAAAAACAAACGAACAGTAAACAAGACGAGACTGAAGGCCCTGGGTTTGAATCCCATGAGCGGGATCGTGGATGCACACTGCTAATGAGTCCTATAATAAGATGAAATGACCATCCAGTGCTTCCAGATTTTTGATGGTGGTCTAACATCAATCGATTTATGATCTCAATCAAAATGTAATATATATTAGTGGAGAGTCATGAAGAAAAACTAATTGAAATGAAATTTCTTCGATCGATTCGTTTCTTCATTATTTACTAAATGTCAAAATGGGAATTTTCACTATAAACAGTAAAATGAATTTGATTCTCGAAATGTTTTTTTCTAGTTGACTTAATAAATTTTATTGGATAGTCAAATACTTATGAGAATGTGAATCTTCATCGACTGATATAGTTGGGCCACGTGTTACGTATACCTAAGGACCGATTACCATGACGCGCAATGCTGACTAGTGTTAGAGATGGTTGGAAGAAAGTTAAGGGCGGCTAAAACAAAATGTGAAATTAATGCTTGGAGTCACTAACTTCTAGTCTTATCCATATTGGTAGATCCAGACTACTTAGTTGGGGTCCGCGTAACTATCGTAACCAATAGTTGGAGACTCTTGATGACATGGCTCAGAAACGATCACACTATCTGTCTTCCCTTCTTTCCATGAACTACTTCTTTATTCTTGTATATTCTTATATGCGATCTTTCTTTTATGTATCACCACCACTGAATTAATTACTTCTATGAATCTGGTGTTCATCTTACTGTGCTAATGAGGTATGGAAACTTGAACCGATGCATATATGAGCCTGGTCCTACGTTGTAGCTGACTAACTGACTGAAATACTTAATTTATGTTCTATGTAATACTCATAATACACTTGTACATTGATAGGATGAATCAGTTAGTGTTAGAATAAATGTTAATACGAATCAAAGTCCGGAGAAATATCACAATCATTATCAAAACTGTATAAGTATCTATAAACAATTGTCTACGTGAGATACTGAATATCGGTTGTTGGTCGGATAATACCTTCAACAATAGTCTACTATGGGAGAGAACGAAACAACTTTCAACTGAAGAGGAAATTAAGAAAAGACGTTTGAAGTGGATAGGATACACATTACAGAAATCATTAAACTTTATCACAAGATAAGCGCTAACTTGGAATCGTGAAGTGAAACAAAAAAGTGGAAGTCCAAAGGACACACTGAGTCGGGAACTGGAAGTGGACATACAAAGAATGAATAGCAACTGAAAATAACTGGAAATGATTTTCCAGGACAGAATTGGATGGATAGTTCTGGTGATTGGTCTATGCTCCTCCATGAGGGTTAACAAGCATAAATAAGTAAGTTTAATCTTCTTTATTTAAGCAAAGATAAAAAATTTCAATCGTCATTTCAATTCGACATCAATTTTAATCTTAACTTCTAAACATGATCTAAAATGAATCTTACTGATATTCTGTAAATCATTTTGAATAAGTTTAAACTAAAATATGATATTGACTGAGTTCAAGAGGTATTTCCTGGAGTTCTAGTGAAAAACAGTGACCAATGGAGTTCAACCGGGTGTGTTGTGAGATAGTAATGGTGGATGTGTCGCTCGATTTCGTGGATTAGTTAAAGTTAGATATTAACACTGTTGCATGCCGGGTCAGTCAAGTATTGGCAAAGCGATCTCGAGCGAGACTGATAGTTGCTGGGTACGATTCTCGCGAGGTGGAACCATGGATGAGCACTGCTGAGGAGTTCCAGAGTAAGACGAAACGGCCGTCCAGTGCTTCCAGATTTTCCATGATCTCAACTATTAAAATTACTATAATATCCTCAAAATCCCCTTCTCATAGAATATTACAGACAACAATCATAGAAATTTTCGCTAACAATTTAAATTTATCGAGAAAATCTGATTCAACCACAATGTGAAACATGACCAAACATGAAAAAAATAAACCTAATTAAAGCATAAAAATTGAAATACAATACGAAATTGTAACTACGGATTATAAGTTAAAGTAGATTTATTCAAATCTATTTGATATTATATTCATTACAAATATCAATGATTGTCTTATGTCAATATTTATCTTTTTTTATTTGTGATATAGTACTATTGATATATGTAAAATTCCAATAGTTGAAATCATGAGTCAATTGAAGCTAGAACATCATGGAATATTTGGAAGTACTGGACGGCCGTTCCATCCTAGTATTGGACTCCTCAGCAGTGCGCATCCACGAGACTGATAGATCCTGGGTTCGAATCTCTCGGGGGGAGGGGCGGGATCGTGGAAGCACGCTGATGAGGAATCCCGTATTGAGACGAAACGGCCTTCCAGTGCTTCCAGGTTTTCCATGGTTGTCTAGCTTAAATTGTCTCATGATTTCAACTATTGAAATTTCTAAAATCTCCACAAAACCCCTTTTAATTGCTGCTAAAAACCTAAACGATAAGTATTGGATTCATTCTTGAGTATGAATGACAACATTTAGATGCAAGTACATCTAGCTAGTGAGTCCCAAATGAGACAAAACAAGTATCTCTGATACTAATGTCAGCTAGAAATCAAATATCGTAAAACTCAAAATAGACTAACTTCATTGTTCTTCTAAAGTTATTTTTATAACTCTCATTATTATTGTTCTAGTCATCATATAGAATGAAAGATTGGAAAAAGATTACACCAATTTCCGGGGAGTTAAGTTAAATAATGAATTAAAACAGTTTGGTTAGGAAAACACTTATCCATTTTAAAAAGTACAAAATAGACAACAAGTACAATTCAACAGGGGATGTGGCTAGTGATACTCTGAATGATAGGTTAACGTAAGTAATTAGCAGGACATTCTACGCAGCCAATATCGCGTTGACCTTCTCGAGTCGACCAGCGATGTCTACTCAAACGAAGAATAAGTTACCTGAGTTGGCCTCCTCAATGTGTATTTACAAATTCAGCTGCTTCTTTGAAGATAGCTATATCGGGTGTACTACCAAACAAGTCAACCAACGAATGAGTGAACATCTACCAGCTTGGTTTATAAAGGGCGGTCATAATATAGATAAATAGGAAGAACAATTCACAATAAATACAATGAAAATAAATACAAACTGAATACTTACTTTTTATAAATCTTTTAATATACCATAATCTATAAACAATCATAAGACCAAAAATTTCAGCAAATGTTGAAGCTGTATCTGCTTGAAAAGTATTATGTAAATAATTACATAATTCTAAAACTTTTGATGATGTAATCTTTCTTGATGGTCTACTAGAATGTCGATATATATTATATATATCTAATGAGAAACAAACTGCACATATAAGACCATCTATAATAAATAATAATTGACGACCCCATTGACGAATTCCCATAGCCCATATTTTAAATGGAACTTCCACAATAAATAATGTTAATGTAAATAAACTTAAACATTCTAAAGCTAATTGACCTTCTAAAATTAATCGTTGACTATTTCCGGGCTGAAATAAAAGAAAAACATAAAGTAAAATAATGATCATTATGTAGTACTTGAACAACATAAACAATTACTCACAAACTAAATCATACATTAACCTATATAGTGTCGAATTGACTATAAATTTTATAAGAACAAACAATTACTCATGTCTAGCACGCCTTATCACTAGTACTCTACATTCTTATAACCTTTTATACTATGTATATAGGGTTTTAAATGAATTCAAATAACTATCGAATTACCCCATAGTGATAAAACGTTATATATCACAACTATACTAATCTGTAATATTGTGGTGCGTGTGTGTGTGTGTGCTACTGATGTCGATAGATATAAGTAGTATGTATCACCAATCGAAAGTGAAATAGCTGGAGGCCTGGAAGATTAAGAAGATCAAAAAATAAAGAGAACGAGAACAAAGAATGATTAGTGTGGAATTGAAAGAACAATGAAGTCTGAGACAATTGATTGACATTATGTAAATAAGGTATATTACTATAGGGTTCTCAGTTTTTACTAAGATGTTTTGTAATTTTGTATTCAAATACATTTAATCGTCACCACTTGTGTTCTCGTTCACTACTATATTAATTTTGTTAAAAGATAGTTTGTTTCTTTATAGTATTGACAAACTATTGGCAATTATCAACCAAATTTCAACATATTTTCAAGTTAAAAGATATCAAATAACTCGGATTCCAAATCTTCTAATGTCAAATACATTGCACATATTTATTTTAATAGTTGAGATCATGAGTCAATTAAAGCTAGACCATCATAGAAAACCTGGAAGCATCGGACTGCCATTTCGTCCTATTGTGGGACTCTTCATCAGCGAGCGCTTAGTTAACACGATTGGATGCTGACTCAGTGGCGTAGATGTTAAGCGCTTGCGCGCAACACCGATAGGTTCTAGGCTCGAATCTCGTGAGGTGGGATCGTGGATGTGAACTGTTGAAGAGTCCCACAATAGGACGAAACTGCCATCCAGTACTTCCAGGTATACAAGTAATCTCTAATTTCCAATGGTTTATCAGGTAGAATCGGTTTAGTATTAAAACTTTATAAATTTATAGATTTCTAATCGGAAACCTCTCAGATAATCGATCTAATAACATAAGAAAGAGAGGAAGATGTAGTATTAACCTATTTTCGTTAGTAATTTAGGCACGATACATATAAAAATACCATAAAAACTGAATAATCATTGAGAAATTTGTAAAAAAATGCTGTGAGTAATTAAATAGCTGATTAGTTGTATAATTAATCACAAGTGCTAGGCTTTACTGTAGATGAATCGTCTTATTAATGAATATCATTGGATCATTTCAATACGACATCGATGAAGTAATGCATTCTTTCTTCAATGTGAACTCGTCGTAATCTTTAAGGGTTTAAATCTTCTGCATGTTGATATTTATAAATGGATATGACCAGACCTATGTTGGTAAACAAATTCTAAATATGTATTAATCCATAACACCTGTATTTACGAATTACTTATGTGGTAAAATATGATTTATGATGTAGAATCCAAGAGGTTCAAGAAATTTCATACACATAGAGTTCCGTTTATCATTTTGAAAAGAGCAAGAACAAAGATTCTAGCAGAATAGCATGAATTCACTCTTTATTTCGTCTAGGATCTCGTCAGCTGCTTACAACCTGTGATATTTATAAATCATAATTAGATAATGAGTTTAAATGACTTACATGAGAGGGTTTGGTTAGATGTTATATTGAAGACATATTCGTATAGTATAGCAAGGGTGTAAATGAAATTAATAGACTGAATATTGTAAATATATACCTAACGTGAAAGAATATTCTACATCATTAATTGTGACAACAGTTCAAAAAGGGGTAGAAACAAGTGATTACATAATGAGTAAAAATTTTGATAAGAATATAGTGAGTAGAATTCAGTTGAAAGATTATTAGTTCGGAAGATAGTTGAAGAATAAAATAAAAATCAATGATGTAATAAATACAAAAACAAAAACATTTTAAGGTGCAGCGAAAGAATATTTGTCATCAAGGCAAGGAAAGCTTAACAACCGTCTCCTTTTGAACACATAGGTCAGGTTTTTAACGCCTGATAGCAACGGCTTCAACAAACTTCAGAAGACTGGAGTTTCGCTGCTTACTAATCACCCTAAAGGATTGTAAGGTATCTACCTGATGTCCTGTATCAAGGAGATGTTTGGTGATTGCACTATTCAGAGTCCTTCTTTCCCTTGTTCTAAGACTTTTTGGAATATGTTCAAAAAATCTAAGGTATGCTCTCCTTTCTGTTCGGCCAATGTAGCTGCTTTGGCAGGTACACGTAAATTTATAAATACATTTGGCGGTAACATGAAAGGAGTGCTTGTCGACCTTTGATTGAGTTATTGAATATGTTGTTTTATAGAGAATTAAAAGTTTAACAGCCGGATAAGTTCTGGCTAGCGCAATATTCAGTCTCCTGCTGATTATTTATGCGACGTTATCACCTTTAAAGTTAAGATTTATAGATACTGTCTTTTTATTGACCGTAATTATTTCCGTCTTGTTTTCTTTGGACTTTTTATATTTGTCAATAAACTTTTGTAGATAAAAGTTGTCTCTTAGACATTTTTCCAGATTCATTAATTCTTCTTCAAGTTTGTCGGTAGTACATATCTTTTCTACCCTGTAAAATAGTGTTCAAGAAATGCTGATTGGATTTGTTTTTATTTATCAATAAAGGAAAAATAAAAGTCTTTAATCATTACTTAATATATACAATCTTGAATCAATCATCCAAGTGTTAGTTCAACTAAACTAATACTACAAAATGGTGACATTTCGACAAGTCCAGTAACAAACAGTATATACATCCTGAATTCCATAACAAATCAATTGTATATTTCATAAAATAAAAACATTTATACAAATATTTGTCAAGATTAGAACAAATAGTTTGACAGATATTGGGCACCAAGTATAGAGAAGTCATTATGTATGTAAATTATATTTGAAATCAATTTCAGCGATTGAAATTAAGAAAATAATTCCAACGTTTCGTCCAGCTAACTTGTCTAGACTTCTTCAGGGTAATAATCAAAATAAAAATCATCAAAGAAATTTATTTTGATTATTCTACCCTGAAGAAGAAATTCAGACAAGTTAACTGGACAAAACGTTAGAATTATTTTCTTAATTTCAATCACTGAAATTGTTTCAACTATAATTTACATATATAAAATGTAATAAAAACATTATTCTTAACTATCCTATAAAAGATTAAAATCATTGTAATAATTGTATAATATTAAATCTATTCTATAAATAATATATTACTTACAGGTAAACGTAATGATTCTATTTCTAATATCATACGACATAATACTAATAATGCTTCAAAACTTGTCAATCCAATAATAGATAAATAATATTTTCTCATATTAAACACTTGTTTTAAACGTTTCCTAGCTAATGTACATTTACCAGATGATCGTGTTTTTATCCGTGAATGTGGTATATTATTAATTAATTCTTTATTAGATTCATCCATTGTGATATGCATGTTATTTAATACATATAAAATATATATACATATATATATATGTATATATGTATATGTATATTTGAGTGTTTGTATTTTATTGAACAGATTGCACCATTAAATCTGAAAGGGAATAAACTAAAGATAATGAACTCTTACATAAAGGAAATGTTTTTATTTTTAATATTTAGAAAATGACCAGTATTTGTTTTACTTATAAAAAGTCATAAATCAGTTGTATTCAGTGTGAAATTCTTTTGAACTGTTAGAGATAATCAAACTTACTTACTTACTTACTTACTTACTTACGCCTGTTACTCCCAATGGAGCATAGACCGCCGACCAGTATTCTACAACCCATTCTGTCCTGGGCCTTCTTTTCTAGTTTCATCCAATTCTTGTTCATTTTTCTCATATCTATTCTTTGGTCTTCCTCTCCTCCTTCGACCTTGAGGATTCCATATGAGGGCTTGTCTTGTGACGCAGTTCAGTGCTTTCCTCAATGTGTGTCCTATTCACTTCTAGCGCTTCTTCCTGATTTCTTCCTCCACTGGGATCTGATTTGTTCTCTCCCACAGTAGGTTGTTGCTTATAGTGTCCGGCCAGCGGATCTGAAGTATTTTGCGTAGACAACTGTTAATAAACACCTGTATCTTTTAGACGATGGATTTCGTAGTTTTCCAGGTTTCCGCCCCATACAGTAGAACTGTTTTGACATTTGTATTGAAAATTCTGACTTTGGTGTTGGTTGCTAATTGTTTTGAGTTCCAGATATTCCGCCTGGAGCCCCTTTCCGGGGGCTACTGCCGGTCCCAAGCCCGGATAAAGGAGGAGGGTTGGGCATGGGGTTAGCGACCCCATCCCGTAGAAAACTAACTCGCTAAAAAAACGCTAACCAGAGATAATCAAACTCTACTTAGTAATTAAGCCAGTTTATTTGTTAGCACTAAAGAGTAAACAAACAGAACATTGAACATTATTTGATAGTTAAAAAGTGTATACATTTTAAAGAGAGCACTAATCTTTATTCTTACTGTCTTTAAGATAATAAAGGGAACTATCTGTATAAAGTATGTATTTTAGTCTTACAGGAATTAAATTACTGTTATTTTCCGATAAGAATAATGAGTGGTAATTTTTGGGATCCATCTATGCTAAATAACTAAACTATGCATATTCATATTCTTCTTATCATAAGCTTTATTTTGATCTGTAAACTATTACTATACGATTTACCATTTTAGAATTGTGCCCTGTCTATTAATCACTACCTCCCTCATTCACAGCCACATTTGGCCAAATCTTGTATAAATGTTGTTTCGTGTTTTATTGGTACGATATGGTCCCTCTGGTTGGTATATAAAGCTAGTATGTTTGAAATACATAATTCATATCGCAGAGGTTGAGATTTGTGTTCCGGACTTAATTGGCTGCGCTAGGCGGAAAGCAGGGCCAATAAAGACTCTAGACTGGTCGCACGTGTTTTACGCGTCATTGATCCGATCGATAATTCACTGCTCTCTGATTGGTGGTATCGTTACGTTATGCATTAGCAGGGCACACAGCTCACAAGATATAACAATTACCTCAAACATCAACGTGAAGCACTTCAATTCTAAAAACACTGGTTCACCATATCAGAAAATCACAAGGCATATCTAAGTAAACCTAGCTTGTGTTACAAACAGTCATCTATGAAACAGTTCATATGTAACCAAAACCACGAACATATCCTATATATGTTTTATTCACAAATACGAGTTCCAGTATGCGGTAAAATTAGATAAATATTTATCGACGACCTTTGAGTGAAGCTGAAGTGACCCTAAGGGTGGACACCTACTGATTAGGAGTGAATGAGAGTTATAAAGCAGTTAGAATTCTCATTTACAGTTGATAGTTAGGGTTGAAAATTAGATTTAGGGTTTTTATCATGAACTGACATAAGCTATAATGCCAAAACTCTTTTTAGCCTAATGTATGGATGAATTTGGGGCCAAAATTCGTGACTTGTTATCTTATATCTGATTGGTTCGTCCATAAATTAAAGTCTCGCTAGCTTTTCAACAGTGAAAATCCACGATTTCTCCAAGAATTCCACTTCATTTAAGATCATTTTATACTGTCAACTAACTTCTTTTTAAACAATCTCTATAAAGCTTCAATCCAAATTGTAGATATGTCTATATGTCTATATCTGTGAACTATCTAATAATATCTATACAAAAATAAGTTATTTTAAAATAAAATCTGTTTTAAATTATCAGAACGTATTAGTTTGTATATTTTAACAATTATATAATGGAAATGAAAACTGAGATCAGATAGTTTAAGAAATAAGTGATAAATAATTCTTACTTATTAAACTATGTAACATTCACTGAACAGAAAATCAAATATTTATCATTTCTATATTTAATCTTGTCAACTATGTATAAAATAAATGTGTATATTCCACAGAAACTAGATTTTTTTTTTCTCAAAATATATACGTAAGATAACTATGAATCAGTTAAAATTAAACAATATTTATAATTTCATAGTCCAATTGGAGGTATTTGTCTGTTTCTTTACAGTATATGCTTGTATGTATATATTTCTTTATTTGATTGGATGTCTATTCATACTAGTATCTATATACACATATGACAATATTTTGATCAATAAAAGGGTAACGATTTAACATTGTTTTCTTATTTTTATCAAACTTTATTATAAAATTTACTTCACATAACATAATATATTGTATGATTGTTGCATGAATGTTAATCTAGTTTATAAATACTAAACCATCATAATCATAAGTCAAAACTTGGAATACATTTAAAATTCTACATCTTTGCAATTACACACAAATATGGAATGCTATTCAAAATTTTTATTGAGAACATTATAATCCTATTTAGCACAAAACGAACATTAAGAGTTTTGCACATATTATCTTTAATATAATTGGATTAAAAATAATCCGTTACCCGACTTAACGGTAACTTTCAAGACAAAACAGAGTAAATGCTGTCTTTTCAGCTGAAAGATTCGTTTTGATGGTACACTTGATGATAAATTTTAAAGTAAGGTAATTGCCACAGCGGCTACTTGGTGTTCTAATCTCGATTAACAGTGTGGATTATAACATTAGTTTAACAGTGGGGAGTGACTAATATCATGTTAAGCTACTAACCATTGATAGACTAAGCCATTCACCAGTTTAAATAGCCTAAATCTACGTTATGATGCTATGGGATTAGAGATAACCTGCAGAATGCCGTGGAAGTAAATTTTGAATTGGTTTCGACCTGTCTGTAGAGTTTCAATTTAGTCTTTTGAAAACTAATATCATGTAAAAAGTGTGTCAAAATCTGTCAGTTGAATAGTTTCAAAACTAATCAGTCAGCAAACTACGTTCAGGATCCTCAAGTATATGATTTGAGGAAGCCTAACAATAGATGAATTATGCTTTTAACCACTCATTATACACGTAAACACGTATTCCAGAATTTACCAATACATCCAAATGGTTTAATTTTTCAAATTTATTGAATTGTGGAGAAGTAAAATCGATCATCAGTCAAGTGCTCCTCATTTTCAGAAAGTTATTTATTGGTAATGATCATATGTAAACTCGCAACAACTACACGATCAATCAAAACGAACACTTTCAATAAAACCATATGGAGGTATAACAAATTAGGTTTTGTAATGAGTTACAATAGGTAGTTGTTTACGGATTAGTATATGTTGTAAAATTTCTGCACACATCAGTTAATTAGCTGCCTGACTTTATCATGGAACATGAAACAGTCCTCATAGAGTCAAAGCACTTTCAGTCGTTATTAGTAAGCCATGTCAAATGCCTGCAAGAAGAAACAGATACATCAACATTTAAAAAACCCTTTTCTGCTAACAACGAAATAAAACAAGACTCGGATTCTTGAATTCCGGTAAATGGTATCCATAAACGTGAAATAAAGTAGTTGTTTAACAAGAGGACTTCTAAGATATAAATAACATAACAAGTAATCACTGGATTGTGACTACAAAACTACTGTTTGAAAAGCACCAAACAAGCATCACTATTAATTATAAAAGATATGCGAAATTTTGTTGTACATGTATCATCTTGAGAGTATGTCAACAATGCACGGTAATCTCCAGTTCTTCTAAAAATAAAGCATGACTCAAGACATAGTCCTGGCTATCTTAGTTAGAGAGAACATAACTAGCTGAGATAAATAGTTGAAGGTTTGTGGAAGTTCCGTGACCGCCTTTCATGTGGGTGGTTTTCCTTACACTGACTTAGCTCATCTAAAAAATATCTCCCTTTTTTAATTTAACTAGTGGGTAGATGTTCCATATTACTATCTTTAATTTATATGAACAAATGATTGAGTTGATAGTCATCTTAAAAATGCAAAGTTCTGAGGGCCTTTTATCAGCAATATCAAATCAAGAGCGCCCCAAAAACTCTTACCTAATAACTAGTAATACTTGATAGTTATTCTGTGATTACATCCGGGCATTTTTGCCATATAGTAAATTTCATTTGGGATATAGCGATCGATCACATGAATTATCGCTTGCTTTGCACGTCTTTTCGTTCACTTCAACCAGATTTAAATAAGGACACCGTTTAAACTCTGTCCATCGTAGATGCGTATTTGTCAATCAATTTTCAGCTTTCGAGCATAGATATTATGTATAGCATCTGTGCTCCAAAAAATATCAGATGCAACATAACTACCATACATCCAACTATTTCAAGATTTTCCCCGTAAGCATATACGTATTAATGTATGTCCTTGATCATTAAAATCACAACCAACAACGCAACACAAAATTTTTCGAACCTCGTTCTAGTTCCTTCACCTAACAGAATCTAACTATAGGTTGATCAAGAAAGTGTAGTCAAATTGCCGCAAAAATCTCAGACCAGCGTATTCATAGGGCCAAGACAATGTGTGTACCATATGCTAGACGCTTTACAGCTCATCTTCTCATCACCTCAAACTATGAACTTTTTA